CATATTGAAAACTAAGATTGTGTCCTTCTAATGTGCAGTTGCTAATATTTCTTCAAGTCGCCAGATTATTGAAAACAGTGTTTTTTCTACATTTCCAGGACTATACGTCGATAACGGTGTCAAATTCAATAAACATGTCAAAAATTTTGATAAAAAATTATCCTCTGGTTATTATGCTGTGAAAATTGCTGCAAAAGAACTAGAATACTCAACCGCGAAGATACTACTCTTCGATAGAGTCACATTTACAATACGGTATCCCATTCTGGGGAGTGTGCAGTGGTAATGTTCTTCAAAGTGTTTTTGTTTCACAAAAAAGAGCCCTGAGGTACCTCTGTAAACTATTACAGGGAATAGATATATCACCCGTCAAAGTAACCATTTCATTTATCAAATGTTATTAACTCAATAACATTTACATTTATATATACACGCTTCGTTAACAAGATGTTATTATTTGATATTACAGTATATTTTGATTGATTGATGTGCAAACTAGGAAGAAAGTCTCCCCAAGCATTGAAATACACGAAAGGAAAAGTGCCTTTTCATATGTTTTCAATACCTGATGTTATTGATTCAATAAAGAAGTTAATCGATGAAGAAAGTTTAAGTAACGAATACCATTACATGAAACATGAAGGTGCCGTTATAAAATCTTGTATCACAAACTTCAATATTTCTCCCGGAACTCCAAACGATCCTAATTCCTGCTCATGAATATTTTATCTGCCGACACTAACTCTCACCATCAGAATCCGAAATATACAACAGCCGGAGATAGGTGTCCCATCAAGCGAGGTGTCACTAATTTGCTCAAAGTGCAAATTTTATCTCGATCTAATTTGAAGAGCTTTTGAAAAGAGCTTCCCTTAGCCACTTAGCGTCGTTTGAAGTCTGCAAGCTTGTTCTCTTAGCTCTTTTAATATTTCACGTTCATGAATATTTATGAATTCAATTTTTTACTTGACGCGCATGTATATAAAAGTGGTGCTACTCGCGAGACATAATTGGAAAACAAAATAGGTTGACGCGAAAAGACCTCTATGACATTTTATTCTCTCGAAGTAGTCACATAAACAAAAAGCGTGACGCAAGTCACTTTTATAATGTAGTAGATTTAATACTTCTACTTCTTCGGATGGGAATTTGTGTCCATCATTAAGACTTTGAAATGAAAATGCGTATTGGAATCGATGTAAATTATACAGTGTGATCCATTTAGATTCGTAAAAACACTAATTAATGTATTGATCGATTTCAATTATCCAATCGACTGAATTCACAATTTTTATTTCAATTTTCAGACTGTCTGGTCGGATTTTGTTCATCGGAAAAATTACTACACCATTCGATTTAGAGTTCGAAAAATATCTGTGATGAGAAGTCCATAAAAATATTTTCAATAGTCAAAAAGATACTGCAAGTCAAAATTCTAGAATTCGCAAACTGTATCAACAGATAGACTTTGACTGTAAAAATAAACCACAGCTGGAAAAACGAAAAAAGTTTCTGTTTAAAATCTGTTTCTCCGCTGACCAGCTGTCACACCCCTACCAGCGACAACCCTCACAATTCGAAACTTGTGCGAGGTAAGGACTAACGAGGTCTTACCTTTTAACGTATGATTCTTAACACGGGTTGGACGATCGTTTAGTCTGTGGCTTGAATCAGCGATCGACACGGCGGTCGGTTTGAGTGAGTGAACAAAGCACCCAAATCGAACCGACCAGCTAATTTACTCGCAATTAACAAATAACACAACACAACAAAGTTTTTGTTTCGGGGTTGAAATTAGATGATTTTAATGTATTTCCACGTGTTAAAACCGAAAGTGACCATAAAAATTATATATTAGCTCTTGTTTTCAAGAGTCACAGTATCATTATATTATATATATGTATATTGAGTTTTCAACAAATGAAATATTTCATCACCAACAGTTGGTACACATGTTTGTTTACATAACACTCTTCTACATCCTATGACCCTGATTTTGAGTAAGCGATAGGTCTAGTGATCCGCACAGAATTAGTCAAGCAGAGTTGAGTGACCTTATAAGAGATCTTCGCTTGTCTGAGGAGAAGGCTGAGCTGTTAGGGTCAAGACTACAACAGTGGAATCTTCTAAAACATGATGTGATTCTAAAAGAAACATAACAATATTGTTTTATGTACTTTCACTTTTCACGTATAGTATAACTACTCTTTAAGATTAAGTACTGTGTATCCCAAAAACCAGAGCTAATAAAAATTTTTCATTGTTATTTTCGTTTTTATCACCCCAAAATTAGTAGAAATTGACTAATTTAGTGTAGGAAACATTCAAAAAATATTTTTTTGTTGTGTTGTGTAATCATACCTAATATGAGAGCTATTTTCCGTTTTTTTTTGGCGTGGTCTGCAAGTCTGCACATCTTCACCGGCAGCAGGCAGGTTGCATATCTTAATGGGGATCTAGAAGTTACTTCGATTTGGGATGAAAAACCAGTTTCAATTCAATCCCATAAACCCATGTAATAACCCAGGCATCGGTTTTCTGATGCATGGGTTACCTCCCTACCTTTTATACCCCTTCAGACATATAAAAATATTCTACTGGTCACATGAGAGGTCGATTTTCGAATACGTCACGGAATAATATCACGGAACCTGTTTACGCCTGGTTTACCTCTCTCCCTTTGGTACTCCTTCAAACATATGGAAATATTTTACTGGTCACATGTGAGGTCGATTTTCGAAAACGTCACGGAATAACATCAGGGAACCTGTTTACGTCTCGTTCACCTGTCAGACACATTGAAATATCTAACTGATTACATGTGAGGTTGATTTTCGAATACGTCAGGGAATAACATCACGGAACCTGTTTACGTCTGGTTTACCTCTCTTCTTCTGGTACTCCTTCAGACATATGGAAATATTTTACTGATTACATGTGTGGTCGACTTTCGAATACATCACGGAATGACATCACATTCATATTGAGTATAGTTTTCAGTAACAAGTAGGTATATCTTTCTTCTGAAGTTATGTGTCGACTGAAAGAACTAAAAATATACCTTTAAAATTTAGTAATGCAATCCCATTCTGAATATTCTACTCGTCAATATGACACTTAAATGTAACAATTATGTAATAGATGATAGATACTCCCTCCCTTCCTACATTTGGTACAACTTCAGACACATGGATATATTTCACCGGTCACATGTGAGGTCGACTTTCAAATGCGTCACGGAATTACATCACGGAACCTGTTGACGTCTGATTTACCTCCCCACCGTTGGTACAACTTTAGACACATGAAAATATTTGACTGATCACATGTTAGGTTGACTTTCGAGTACGTCACGGAATGACATCAGGAAATCCGTTTACGCCTGGTTTACCTCTTTCCTATTGGTACTCCTTCAGACACATTGCAATATTCTACTGATTACATGTAAGGTTGATTTTCGAATATGTCAGGGAATAACATCACGGAACTTGTTTACGTCTGGTTTACCTCTCTTCCTTTGGTACTCCTTCAGACACATTGCAATATTTTACTAATTACATGTGAGGTTGATTTCCGAATACGTCAGGGAATAACATCACGAAAACTGTTTACGTCTGGTTTACCTCTGGTTTACCTCCTTCAGGCGCATGGAAATATTTTACTGATTATATGTGAGGTTAATTTTCGAATACGTCACAGAATGACACACGGAATCTGTTTACGCCTGGTTTACCTCTCTTCCTTTGGTACTCCTTCAGACACATTGCAATAATTTACTGATTACATGTGTGGTTGATTTTCAAATACGTCAGGGAATAACATCACGGAACCCATGGAAATATTTTACTTATTATATGTGAGGTTAATTTTCGAATACGTCACGGAATGACATCACGGAACCTGTTTACGTCTAGTTTACCTCCCTACCTTTTATACCCCTTCAGACACATGGAAATATTCTACTGGTCACATGTGAGGTATATTTTCGAAAACGTCACGGAATAACATCAAGGAACCTGTTTACGTCTGGTTTACCTCTCAGACACATGAAAATATTTAACTGATTACACGTGAGGTTGATTTTCGAATACGTCAGGGAATAACATCACGGAACCTGTTTACGCCTGGTTTACCTCTTTTTCTTTGGTACTCCTTTAGACACATGGAAATATTTTACTAATTATATGTGAGGTTGATTTTCGAAGTCGTCATGGAATGACATCACGGAACCTGTTTACGTCTGGTTCACCTCCCTACCCTTGGTACAACTTCAGACACATGAAAATATTTAACTGACCACATGTAAGGTTGATTTTTGAATACGTCACGGAATGACATCACGGAACATGTTGGTAACCTTGTTTACCACATTTAGGTACCATTGTCTATAATTTCCTTATATAGGTTGTTCACGTTAAGAAAAGAATGACTTCATTGTTAGTAATTTTCTATATCCAACATAACAACGTTAAAATTTCCACTGAAATGCGTTCAACAGCAATGAAACTAGTAACATTTCATTTTGTAAGTTGCTCAACTGATAGTAAAATTTCAGACGTTGCCGAATCGAAAAAAACTCGAAAATTGTCAGTCTTTCTTTTCTTTTCAGAACTAATCATTTCTTTTGATAAGACCTGCGTATATTCAATATGCCTTAAGCATTGTCGAAATAGTCTCAACAAATACTAAAAGTAAGTAAGGATAATAACAATAAAACCTATCAACAGTACAACAAATTTTGAAAGTTCGAAATAGTGCACATGTTGGCAACGCCGTAACTTCTCACCTTGTGACGTCATTCTCTTCTTAACGTGAACAACCTAACCTTTATAAATTATCGTTGTTACTCGATTTATATTATTGTTGTTGAGTTGTTGATGTGATTATTGTGATATGTTTATTTGTGTTTTTGGGCTTGGTGTATTGTGATTTATGAGCAAATAATAGAAAGTTGTTACCTTTGCTTTATAACAGTTTGAGAATAACTACTAAACACTGAAATGGAATGTCACTACGATGTTTTGGGTATCTCCAGAAATGCAGACGCCGACGATATAAAATACGCTTATCGAAAACTGGCCCTCGAATGGCATCCCGATAAGAATTTGGACAAAGTCGAGTTAGCGAAAGAACGATTCCAGATTATAAAGCGAGCTTACGAAATTTTGTCTGACGGGGAAGAAAGAGCATGTTACGATAACATTCAGGAGGAGATTCTGAGAGATTCCTACTCAAAATTTGTAGATAACAGATTCGACGTTTCCCAGTATCTTACCACCATGTGCTTCAAGGGTTACGGTGATGACGAAAATGGATTCTACTCTGTGTATCGCACAGTTTTCGATTGTATTATTAAGGAAGATATAAAATTAATGGAAGGCAAAAGAAAATTTCGTGATGTACGAGTACCGAGGTTTGGATACTCATCGACTGATTACCAAGAAGTTTCTGAGTTTTACGCCTACTGGCTCAACTATTCAACAAAAAAAGATTACGCTTGGTTGAATATTTATGAGACATTTTACATTCAAGATCCGGAGTTTCTCAAAGTGGCTGAGATAGAGAACAAGAAAATCAGGGATTTCGCTAGAAAACAGCACAACCGGAAAGTTCAGAACCTGGTGGCTTTCGTGAGGGAAAAAGACGAGAGAGTGATAGCCCAGAAAAGACTTCAGGAGCAGAAATTAGCGGAAGAAAAAAAGAGGGGAGAACTGAGGTCTAGGAAACAGAAGATGTTGAATGATTTCAAATACCAACGAGACTGGTCAAAATTCGTCATCAGAAAAAAACTGTGGATGTGAGATTGTTTTATTGTTCACGTTTTACACTCTTCGATTTATTGAATATAGATACATGAATTTCGACAACATTCAGTATTTTCACGTATTTCCATAATATTTTCACAAGGTTTTTTATTGAAGGGCAACTAGTGTTGAATTTAAACTGGTTTGGTATATACATGAATCATTTTTTTCTATTTGATGAATTTATAATCCTGAAAATGTTTGAATTGATGGCGTCGAAACTTGTAAAACCTGAAAGTAATTGAAAGAAATACTTTCGAATTTTGAATTTCTAATATTATTCATATTGAGCACCTCATGAATAACTTGAAAGTCCAATGAAAACCAAATATTATAGTTTATGGTCGCCTATAGTGATATGTATCACGATTTTATCTACACCAAAAAATTTTTTTCACTATTTTTCTTTTTGGCGGGACACAGAAAGTAGTCAATTTCTAGTTTCATTCACATTGTAACCCGTTAAGTGACCAGATTACTAGAAATATACATCATCTATATATTCGAAAGAGTTGAGTTTTTTACTCTTTGTTATTGTCGTTCTCAACCATTTCAGGCAAGAAGTGAATTGCTCCCAATTTAAAACAATATATATGTTTTTTTAATTATATCTATATTTCTTTTTTTTTTCTTTTCATAATCAATTTTATTTATCAAGTAATTTTCAATTTATCCATATTTTCATTCTGACGGTCGATTTTATTCATAAAGTTTTATCAACTAACCATACATATAATAGTATGAATGTCTCACTGCGTAATTTGACTTGTAGTGTCCTGAAAATGACTATACAACTCGAAATGTCGACAATGAAGAAATATTAGTAGTTTTCAATCATTCCCAGCTCGAAAAATAGGTCACAAAACGGCATTCTTGTCATCGATGACTAACATGCTTGTACTGATAACTTCCAATGTCTACTCTTTGGAGATGATTAGAAACTTTATTGCCTGGCATAGCTCAATCTTGATATATAATTCTAATGGGTTCAAATCAGAGAATTAAATTTGAATGTGAATAAATGTTTCAGTATATACTTTTGACGAGTGAGAACTATTTTTGGTAATCAATTATAGCATTGTTCTCTGGAAGTGGTTTTAGTGAGATTTGTTTATTATCCAAAAATATAACAAGACACTCGTGAGTATCGGATATTATTGACCTTAAAAACCAATAGCTATTTCAATAGTCATATATGTAAGTTTTGGTTTGTTGGATACAAATATATCAGACCGGGAGATGATGGAAGATTTTGGTAAGTCATTTCTTACAGTATGGCGCTTTAAGGGGGGTTTATATAGTTCATATACGTAATAAGTGAAAGGAAAATGATGTTCTTACCAGTGGTGCGTAGGACGCAATTGCAGAATAATTAACTGAAATTGCTCGAGAATCCTGAGTTGTCAAACAATTCCTTTCACAGAATTTCTTCAATTTATCGGTATTTCAACAAAAAATCAGGCGCTTGCTATATGCTTACTTTTCCGGTGGGTATTTAGGCCCGCCATACTTTTTTGAAAATATTTTTATAGTTTTTTTCAATTATTTCTCACAGGCTGATTTCTTTAACAACTGTTTTTTTATTAATCTTGTACTAAAATCACCAAACCATACAATTCCGACGGTCCATAATACCCGCCATACTCCCTCTAACATCTCATTTTTCAAAATTCGAAAAACTATTTCTTTCAACCTAAAATTTCGTCTAGTAGTTGTTTTTATGATAAGAAACATAATTATTATAATGACATACCTGTAGAGTAGATGACATACGTACCTAGAATGTAATTGAATAATTGTAAAATTTTATGCAACATTTGAACAATTTGTTACAGTTTGATACCATTTTCATTTGAAAGTTGGACGAAGTTGTATATAGAGACATTTTTGTTTAATTAAATAACGTGTTGTATCGTATAATGTGTTTCATTCATTCCATATTCACTCACAGTGAATATCTGATTCATTTGAATATCATTTAAAAGGGGAAGATTATTTGGAGCAGCACTCAGAAAAAAACTGATGGCAAATCGCGGACACTTGTTTCTGGCTATTGGCCTGATCAGCGCGGTGTAGCCAAGCAAAGATGAGCTACACTTGGTTGCCGAGAACCAAGTAAGTAATTGTAAGTCTCGTACAAGTTGGAGCTGAAATACGTCGCTGAAAATCAATTTCCGGGTACGGCACCACTTTTGGACTTCACTATAAGCATAGGAAAATTTTCCTGATTCATACTTTTTATGTACTTTCTAGAAATTAACATGCCACACTCTAAGAAATCTATATTTATCGACTTTTTTTGGATGTTTTCACCTTCCATAATCTGAAAAATATGAACATTATAATGAAGAATTTTATACGAGTGTAGGAAGGGCAAATTTTTTAGTTCACCCCGATAAGTTACTGCGTAAAATCACAGTATTTCAAACAAAGAAAAATGATCTTTTCTTATCAGTAACATGTAGAATTTAACAATTTTGCCTATTAAAAAAATTGCTAAAAAATAATACAGTACTTATCTTAACGTTCTGGAAGCCAAGATCTGCCTCCGTCTTCAGAAATAGGACAAATTCAAATTTATATGCAGTTATTCCTTTACTGATTATTCATTTCTTCTTTTTCTTCGACAGAAACGTTCATATGTGAGGTCGATTTTGGATACTGCCTGGTTACAGACAACAACAATTTCTTCAATATTTGCAATATCTTTTCACTCCACTAGTTACTCTCTATTACCTCTCAATGGAATAAAAATATGTTTAATAGGTCCAAAGTGAGTGGGTCTTTTCGATTCTCAGTAACCCGATGTATCATTGTGAGGCCACTATACTATCCACATATCAAAAAAAAAATATTGAATGGAAAATATTCAGTTTATAATTCAGAAAAACGAAATGAAAACTAACAGGTATTTTTTTCTGATTGATGCGGCCGTTATTTGATGAAGATCCTCAGTAATTTCAAAAGCTACACCTCACGATTTCAGTTGTAGTTTTTGAAATAACAGGTATTTCATAGGGTGTATCAACTACAAGAGGCAAACGTAACAGTTTATTTCCACAAATAAATGAATAAACCATTACAATTAAAAAATGAATGAATTGAAATCAATCGTAAAAAAAAATCTGAAGAAGCCAGCCACTCGTGCTGGCGAAACGATAGGATACAATTCCAAACTACGACGACCTTCAAACCCGAATGAAGATAGTAACACCAAAATAGAATTATACTTTTTGAACAGCTTCTTTAGTTTTCCTGTCCTTCCTACTTATTTTGATGACGTTCCTTACCTTTCCTCATTTTTTGTATGATGTTCTAGTCAGTTCTATAGCTCATATCTACTTTTTTTTCAGTGTCACTGACTTGGAAATTTTTTGGAAGTGAACATATAGCTTTAAAACTTGTATAAAATATGTTAGGACTGATTTCGGATGGAATAGTCGATGAAGACAGCCTGACTATTAAATTTTGTTTGTATTTGATCTTCAGGAATTTCGCACAACATAGTTGCTGAACATGTGCCATCCTGACAATTAAATTTTGGTGGTGTTTTGTCTTCAAATATATTCTGTGTTTCTACAGAAAAATCTTTAAGGTGCTCTAATCCCTGGAGATTAATTTTATTCGGAAAAACGTTCTCAGAAAGTTTATTCCACATATAAACGTAGTTCTCTAAATGAAAGAGTTCTTAAACAGTGGAGTTCAAGGTGTATTAAGTTGAACCTCACAACGATGAGCAGCCACAGTCCGTCGCGTATTTCTGATATGTGCCGCATTTGGTGGAATCAAGTGTGCCAAGTCACTTGAACACCTACCGTGAAAGTATTCATAAAAGAAAGACAAATATCCAACCTTTCTTTGATGTTCCAGACCATCAAGGTTCCAAGTGATGTTCGCGTCTCCTGTCAGGCGGATGGCTCAGGGTATGCTTAGGGGCCGAGCTCCATACATGAGAACAATACTCCAAATGAGGTCTGATCTGAGCTATATAAAGCATCAAAAGTTGCTGAGGTGCAAGTACAGTTATCTTGTTCGGAACTGTGTTCCAAGTCTTTGAGAAGCAGTATTTGCAATTTTAGCGACATGATTGTGCCAAGATATATTGGTGTCCCTTTCAATCCTTAACAAATTTATCGAAGCAGAAAACGGAATTGTCTCTCCTGACGTTACAATATCAGGTTCGGAGACTGACTGCTTAACTGAAAGGTGCAAAAAGGTAGTCTGCAAACAGGTAGTCAACAAAAGTTTTGTTGACAGGCCAAATATCTGCTGTTTTAAAAACATTTTCAGCTGTTCCACCAATAACTGTCTTCATATGCTTCTGCCTGTAAGTGATGCCTTTGAGATGGTTTCAAAATGATACGTCTATGAGTTGGAATCTATGTGTTGTATGTGAAGGTAATTGAAGAAGATGAATATGATTCTCGCGAAAAAATTCTGAAGCTTTCAAGCTATTACTATGTGTTACATCAGTCACATTATGAAATATGTTCCTACCCAGAGTCATGAATCTGACAAATTCCAGTGGAACCACCTTTTGGTATTCCTGAATATTCTTTTCGCTTGACAATTATCATAGGGGAAAAATAAAGCAAGCAGCATCAGTACAGCACACAACTGGTGAGTCTTTCACCCCTCCGCGTCGAATATACAAAAGTAACCGGCTCGGCGTCCGTGAATATAAAACCGATGAATCGTTTCCACAGCCAGCGACTAATGTTGGAAACTGCAAAGCGCATTACGGGCATTTCCCCGACTGCGGAAACTTTTATGCATGGACCATAAACCGAATGAATGCTAATAGCATTATCTATACTCTGCTTCCTAGAGCAATAAAATTTATTTGGGGGTCCCCTCCCACTGTCGAATCGCTCACGATACCGGGTGATAACGAGAGTTCTAAGTTCCGAAAAGGATTTGCTGAAATGGCGTATTTGTTCTTGATGTGTGAAATGATTTTTTTTTAAAACAAAGCGAAACATTTTTTTGTCATCGTG